AATAAAAGTATGTTATTTTAACAAGTAATATAGATATTTGGACATTTTAGAAAAATTATGTGTTATCCAAGTAATAGTTTAAAGGGGTATGACTGTATGAATTTCTGCAAATTTTTTCATCATAAAACAAATAAATTATGTACCAAACACTATTTCAGTACTTGAATAGAGTTGATATTTTTAATAATAACCTCTAATGTCCTACAGAAAAAGAATATTACAATGTGTGGTCACTATAATGAAATGGATCTCTGCTATTTTCAGATGGGCCTCTTCACGTCATCGTAATGGAGTGATCACTTGTCTCTATGGCACGTGCACTTTACAGATTAAAACATGAAATGGCATTCCAATGTTAATTATAATAAAAATTAATATAAATAATTTATTTTAATTACCTCATTAATATGATTCTTACAATAAGAAGCAGAATAAAAAAAGTTTAAAAAAAATTATAATATTTTATTTTTTATTACAATAATTAAGGCATTTGCACATTAACTAATATGTATGATTTTTAGAGATAATTTGCCAGTAATGGTACCATGAATATTTTCATATTACACAACTTATCAATAAATATTTTAGAAAGTATTTTCTCACTTCTTCCAACATGCCTTCATGGTGTAGCAGTTATCACACTTGGCATGTATTCGAGAGGTCCAGGTTCGAAACCCGGTGAGGGCATTGCACATTTTTCAAGTCTTCTGCTTCAAATAATGTAGTGACTCTTCAGTATTGCCCGAACTAAAAGGTGGTGGATGATGATTCTTCACCACCAGGATTTGGCAATCAAGTTTATATCGCAAAAGGATGCATTTTACCTCTAAAAATTTGGCAACATAAGCTTGCAAAAATTTACACAACTGTTTAAAATTTCAAGACCATAAACCGGTCAAAATTTGAGAGCTGAGTCTTAGCATCATTCAAAGCAACAACAAAATGATACATACTTACGGACTAAGAACAATAACTTAATCAAATCATTACCTTAATAATATAAACCCAGAAACATTGCATACCTGCCAACCTCTAAAGATAAAAATTCAGAAGGTTTCTCCCCCAAATTCAGAAGATTTCTCCAAAATTCAGAAGAACACACGAAGAATTAATATCATGCTTTAATATTAAAAAAATAACAATTTATACAAATAGAAAAAAGAAAATTGTACTTACATTAGTAATCTCAATTAAGTAGTTAACTAAAAAAGTTATTAGGAAACAAAAAACAAGAACTTAATGTTACACAAAAAAATTATTGCAATGAATTTAGAGTGCATTTTTTGGCTTTAGCCAAAAATTCTTTGGAAAATTTCCTGTCATAACAATTAGTTTCCTCATAACATTTAGCAATTAAAATGTTTTTCAGAGTTTTTGGTGAAACTGAAAAACGAAACATAGTTTTGTTTTTCTTCACAACACTGAAGACTCTCTCGCACTCAGCGTTACCGAGTGGAATAAGAGAATAGCACATAAAACTCTTGCTAGTCTATCATATTTTGGTGTTCCATCAGCTCTTTTTATTCTTTTTAAGGTACCAATGAGGACATCAAGTCTATCTTCTCCAGAACAGTGCTTAGCGGCACGTTGTGTTCTATGAGGAATGCAGTAAACAAACACTCTGCCAAAATGACATCGGCATCCCAATTCGTAGCCGAATTTGAAAAAAAAAAAATCATCCACTTTCTTTGACGTTGTTGAAGCCGAAGAATTAACTTCATGCTTTTTAGACTTAACATGCTTCACAATGTCGCTTCTTCCACCGTGACTTATTATCAAGTCACACACGCACACGTTACAAAATGCATAGTTATTTCCTTTGAAGGATTCTTTAATTGCTGGAAGTTTGGCTTTGTAGGCAGGCCGAAAATATTGAGAATACGGTTTTTTTGAACTCATTTCGTAACAACGACGTATTAAAGAAAATTCGTAGCACGTGCAAACAAACAAACAAACAACAACAACAACGAAAAAATAAATAAATAAATAAAACAGAATGCGGCAATGCATGCTTGCTGAGTAATTTCCTTGCTGCTGAAGCGAATGCGCAAAAAAATAATCTGGCGCCCACAAAGAAAGAGAGTGGGAGAAACAAGTTCAGCGCATTGGATTGGCTGGTTAAGCGGCGAGTTGGGAAAAACCGCAGGTTACTGGATTCGAAGTAGTCGGTAGTTGGCGGTAAAACACGATGCAATTGGCAAAAATCGCTGAATTGGCGAAAAATTCTAAAATTTCAACAAAAATCACTAAAAACACTTGAAAAAGGGAAAAAATTGTAAAAAATGGATTACGATCGTAAAATCGTAAAAACCAACGCATTTTCGTAAAAATTACGAAAAATTTGTAAAAGTTGGCAGGTATGACACTGTAATAATATACACCCGGATACACAAAATAAAGGCCCCCAAGCGGTAAAAGCCGCTGGACACTGGTAGTTCGATCCGAAGTTCGAGTCCCGGCGAACGTGCCTAAGGGCGGAGCCCGTGATAATAATAAGGATACACAAAATAAAAAAAATTCTGATACAATAGTTTGATGTATCACTTATGCAGTATAAAGTTTGAAAGACGCAATATCCAGAATCCATCCAATATCTGGAATGATCTAAAATCTGAACATCTGTATCACCAACAACCCTTATTTACTTTTCTCAGAGAATTTTTAATGTTTTATACTAACAAATTTGATATTTTTCAAAAAAGTGTGGAAAATCCCGCTTCTGAATTTCACCATAGCACTGACACCCATCTGGAAAATCATTATTTATTATTTTTTGCTTTCATCACTGCATGACTATCAACAAACTGCAGCTTGAGAAATGACTCGCATGGCAATGTGTAGACATTTTTTTTTTAATATTATTAACTGAATACCAAGGATCATGGTAATTTTTTATGTTGGCATTACACATTACACTTGACAATGATTCCAAACTTCCAGCAAACAATGCTGCAAAATACTGTTGGGGTGAAATTTAACAGAAATTTTTTTTATGCATAAAAAATAGATTCTGTAAATTATATTCAGGTCAAAGATTATGTTTAGTGCTGCCTGAAATGAGTTTAACTCATTTGTTATTCAGATAAGCCGAGGACCAGCGCCAGAGCTAGTGCAGCTGAATTTATGGAAGACAAAAGTTTCAAAATTTGGAAAAGCACAGAGCAACAAAATTAAGGGATGGAAAAATTTTTAGAATTTAGGGAAGGCACAGGAATACAAAGTTTAGGGACAATAAAATTTTATAATTAAGAAGATGCTTAGCAGCAGAATTTAGGATCCATAGAGACTGCGCAGGGCCATAAAATCTGTAGCCTTTGATAAACCTCAAAATATATGTGAAATTTATTTATTCTAGACTCAGATAAGCCTTGATCATGCACAGGAAATACTCCTATGTATAATAAATAACTAATATAATTCAAGCTTAACTTCATCAGCATGTGACAGAAGCAAGATAAAATTTAGCGCAGCATGTCTTTAATTGTCAGCCTCATCGTACATTGCCAATAGTGTTTAGTGGACACTAGCTAAGCTTTATGATGATAGCTGCACATTTGAACATGTTCAGATATCACAAATAAGAAGTAAAAATTTTCAATTAATGGAATTTTCAAAAAAATGTGGAAAAATGGTTATGAAGATGATAAAACAGAAGTTTCTAATTGCAATGACAATGCCTAAACCATCAATCAACTAATGGGTGGTGAAATCCGTAGTATGGTTCTTGAATTGAGAAAACATTGCTACCAATAGTGAGCTTGTTAAGCATGAAAACATTAACTGGCAATGTAATAATAAAGAGAAATTCTTGATGCAGCAATTACAGGATTTTAACAATGGACCTTTGTAACTGAACAAGAAATTACGTCCATCTATAGAATTAAAGGAAAAGTATTAGCATAAAAAAATGAAGCAAATTGAATGAAAATGCAATGAAGCAACTTAGATTGAAAGAAATGTTTAATAAAGTAAACAAATATTGAGCTTTTTTTTTTTTTTTTTTTTTTTTTTTCTCTTTTCTTTTCTTTGTAAATTTTGATTTCTCTAAGGTTATAAATGCTTCATTACTTCATAAATCACTGTCTGATATTTTAAAATCACTATTTTATTTTTACGTTTTATAATTTCTACATGTCATCTCACTAGATTTAAACTGATGATCTAATATCCAGAATCACTGAAGACCCAATAAGTTCAGATCTCAGACTTTGTACTGTACTTTTTTCTCTCTAACAAGTCCATAAGTATTCATCATAGGAAAAACATTCTTTAATCAACACAAGGAATTTCAAAACACTTTCAGCAAATTATTAATTTTTGCAAATGAAATTACAAACAACTACATCAAAATAGAGGCAATTTATGTCACTTATTAAGTACTAAGTGTATTAAAAAGAATAAGAAGAGACAACCAAATTTTATAAATTTAACAAAATAAAACTTCACGCCATTACTTCAAAAATAACCAACATCCAAATTTCAGTACATCCAAATTTCAGTATTTACCATGATCACAATACACTCTAGATGTCTTTAATTGAAATTTATCTAGCCCCTTCTGTGATCCAACTTAAATGTTCCTTTTTATAATCAAAACAAGAATCCGAGAATCCAGATTTCAACTTCAGAAGTAACAATAGTTATGTCTTGTAATGGAAATTCTAATTTCCTAAGACCAAAGAGGCCAAGTGAAGCTGATAATACTAGGGGACAGTGGACCCAGAATTTCTCTCCCCAAGTCAGACAGTCAATGAAGCATTTTGCTGTGATCTTTTGAAATGTATGAGAAAGGACATTCAGAACAAAAGATCTGTCATGGACGGATGAAAATTAATAACTGCACAATGGTTTTTCTAAAAACAGAATTTCCAGCAACGAGATTTAGCTCTGTGAGACTAAAATTTATAGAGCAGTGTTTGATATACATTTGGCATTCAAGCCAAAGTTTAACATTTAAAAATGATATGTGAGAAGGAGCATAATAAAGAGAGCAATTTTACCTAGGAATTTTTTGGTTACATGGAGGATGCTTCGTTTTATGCAATTTATTTAAAGGTGATATTACAGCAGAATTATTGGAAACTATGCTTAAATTTTCAGTTACAGAACACACTGAGGCATTAGAGCTACTGGAAGATTTATCACAAGTAAGTCTTGAAGATCTATGTCGAGGTGGAGTCTGAAATATTCTTGAACCAGATGTTTGCTGTTAAAAATTAAAAGAAGAATATTAATAGGTTATTACACACATAATTAACATATACATCTGTATATAAATATCTATTAATTTTTTTAATTCCAATTTTTTGTTCTGAAGTAAAACTGAATTACTTTCTATGGTTATTAAATGAGTTCAAGCATAACACAGCAAATGAATTTTCAACATCAGACCATATAGCTTTTTTAGTAATTTCAACTAATGCTAATGACAGCATTTTGTTAAAAGGAAATGATAATTTATAACACAACTATAATGTTTATTTTATATTAATACATATAATACAATTATTTTATATTAATAGAGTGAAAACATTACTGGATGTTTATTATGGTGCCCTGAGTGCTTTCTGGGGGGGGGGAAGCAGCTTAAAATTTAAGCCCATTTCATCCACATTATAGATTTGATCAGCAGTAAAATATTCTATACAATATCTAAAAATTTAGTGGAAGTTTATTCACTTGCAACATTTTGGTCTGCTGATTATTTCGTGCTATAATAACTACGCATTTTGATATTACTTTTTCAGTTCTCCCATTTCAAGTCCTTTGCCATTAATTCACTGCACTTTCTCCAATACTTAATTTATTATATTAAGTTAAGCCGCCCAGACGGAAAATGGTTAGTGACCACAACTGCCATACCGAAAGGCAAGGATTTGAATCCTGGAGAAGAAGGCATGGATGTAAATTGTATGTTCTTTCATAGGAATAAACAGTGGCTGAATGTTAGGTGCCCCCACAATAAAATGACCACTGCTTTTGGCCTTAGTAGTAGTGAAAGCCTAAAAATGGCTAGTGCCCGCCATAAAAGAAAATTACCAATGCCCAACTTACAGATTTAAGATATCAATACTGTGAGAACTGTAACTAAGATTATGTAAGAGCGCCATCTAGATTAGGGTGTGGTCAGATGAGATGAGACATGAACGATAGTGAGGACACACGTCTCTAAAATGTTTTCACAATTTTTGACAAAATTCTTTTAACTTCTTTTTTCATTCTAATGTAAATAAATAAATCTTAGTTTAACTTCATGAGTTGTAGTTATGCTTATCATCAATCTTTCCCCATATTTTGGTGTCAGAAGTTTTGATTCCGAGCTCATAGTTGGACTGTGCCATCTGGATTAGTAAAGTTCACCTAAAAGGATCACAGGTGAGCAATTAACATTTATCAATTTTATTTTGACTGTATAATTGTTTCAAGTAATTAACATGTCTTCAGAAGAAAAGTTTGAAAAGTTACAATGAAAGTGTAGTATTGAAAGAAGCAGAACTTCTACACTAATTTCAAAAATTGATGTTACTTTAGCAGATGAAAATGTTACATGTGATATCTTAGACGAACATCTAGAAGTTTTAATAGAGATAATGAATAAACTTAAGTCCTCAGATAGTCAAATTGAACATTTCATTGATGTAAACTTAGTCGAGGAAAAAGTAAACACTAGTACTGATTACCAAGAAAAATGTATTAGGTATACTAACAAACTTAAACACTTATTGAAACAGAAAGTCTTTTACTAACTCGTCGACATCTGAAAAACTGTTAAATACTCCAAATGATAGTTTAAATTTGCCCTCTTCTGTTAAACTACCTAAGTTAACAATCAAACCGTATTCAGGAGATCCGAAATTGTGGAATAAATTCTGGAATTCGTTCAAAACCACTGTCAATCGAAATGATTCACTTTCGAAAATTGAAAAGTTTGCCTATTTAAAAACATATTTGATTGGAGGAGCTTTAAATGTAGTATCTGGTTTTCAGTTAACTGATAAAAATTACGACAGCTGTGTACAGTTACGTAGCGTATTCGGAAACTAAGTACCGTTTCTTTCTAGTGCCGTCGCAGCGCTGTGGTAGGCGTCCTACGCATGCGCACTAGTCTTTCTTGTTCACTGACTTTCAATTGTCGCCATTTTGGTTGCTCTGTTGTGTTTTCAGTTTGCTGTGCACATTTAAAATGTTTAAGACAATTAGTTCTCCCGCTGACTGTGAGATTCGTGCTGTGATTAAATTTTTGAACGCAAGGAATGTTAAACTGGCCAAAATTTATCGTCAAGTGACAGAAGTTTACGGTGAATACGCGATAAGTGATGGAATGGTGAGAAAGTGGGTAAGAATGTTTAATGCAGGTCGAACAAATGTCCACGCCGAGGCTCGGAGTGGTCGGCCTTCTGTTGTCACCGATGATTTGGTAAAAAAAGTTGATGAAGCAATTCATGAGAACAGACTCTTCACAATGACAACTCTTTCAGAGGCATTTCCACAAATTCCACGTAATTGTTCGAAATTGTGTCTGACCGCTTGAATTAATCGCAAACTGTGTTCCGATGGGTTCCAAAATGCTCACTGATGTTCACAAACAAAGCGACTTGGTAGTGCCCTGACATTTCTCACGCGGTACAGTGATGAGGAAGAAAACTTTTTAAACCAAATTGTGACAGGTGATGAAACATGGGTGTGTCATTTCACACCAGAATCGAAACAACAATCGATAGAGTGGAGACACTCATTCTCCGAAAAAACAAAAGTTCAAAGTGACAATGTCATCACAAAAAATCATGTGCACTGTCTTCTGGGATAGGAAAGGCATTTTGCTTACTGAATTTCTTCCCAGAGGTGAAACCATTAATGCGACACGATATTGTAAGACTTTAACAAAACTAAGGCGTACCATTCAAAACAAACAAAGAGGAATTCTCAGTAAAGGAATTATGTTGCTCCATGACAATGCTCGGCCCCATACTGCTGGTGTCACTCAATCGTTCATTCGACAGTTTCATTGGGAGCAGTTCGATCACCCGCCGTACAGCCAGGACTTGGCACCGTCCGATTATCATTTGTTCCTGCACATGAAGCGCGAGCTTGGTGGCAAGCACTTTGGATCTGACGACTGTGGAGTCGTGGTTATCGAAACTGGCGGGAAGTTTCTTTGACGATGGTATACAAAAACTGGTCACCCGCTATGACAAGTGTTTGATCATTGGCGGAAACTATGTTGAAAAATAGTTTAAGACATGTATTTTCATGTAAAAATAAAATTGGATTCAAAAAAATTGTTTTACTATTTTTTTTTTTTTTTTTCAAACGGTACTTAGTTTCCGAATACACCTCGTACTTAAAGATCATTTTGGTCGAAAAGATATCATCATTGATTCTTTTATGAGTAAACTTTTAACTTTTTTTTAAGTGTTAAAAACTCTTCAAATGTTCCAGCTTTGAGAAAGTTATATGATGAGCTCAATATCTCTATACGAAATTTAGATTCACTGCAAGAGGATTCAAAATCCTGTGGTGCACTTTTGATTTCAATTGTTCTAAATTTATTGCCAGAAAATCTTGTTTTAGATTTTAAGCGAAACACATATTCAAAACGTGATGTAACAATTTCTGACCTTCTTTCTTTTTTAAAATGCGAAATTCAATCTCGTGAATCTACATTTTTAGCTTTACGTGACAGAAAAGTTTTCTCAGCAAATTCCAGTAATTACCAGTCATGTAAATGTTATAATTGTAATGGATTTGATCATTTATCTAAATTTGGTCCCGACCAACATTGCGGACCCAAATGTTTATCTTGTGGAAACTTCGGTCATAAATCTTTTACCTGTGTTAAGAAAACTCCGAAGCAAATTGACAAAAACAACAGTCCAACATTTGAAAAAATGAATGCTGTCACATCAATCAACTTTCATGCGCCAAAAATACTCCATAAAGTAATAAAAATTAATGGTAGATCACTCACCGCTATCACTGATACCGGAAGCGAAGCAACGTTTCTGTCTAACGACGTTTATAAACAAATCGGGAATTCCGCTTTATGTGTATTTCATAATATGCTCAATGGCTTTGATAATGGCAAAATTAAACCAATGGGTTATTTTACAGCTGATATTTTAATAGATAAGGAATTATTTACAACTAATGTTTATGTTGTAGACAGTAATGTAATGCTGTTTGACGCTATAATTGGCATGGATGTTCTTAAACTGGGTGAAGTTAACATAAACAAAGATGGTGTTCATATTTCTAAACATGTTGTTAAACAAAATGATCCGGAAGATGTGTACATCAATAATATTTCCCTTAATCAAACATTTGAACTAGAAATAGATCCTACTGCTACAAAAGAACAAGTTAGACTCATTGAAAATCTTGTATTCGATTACAGACCTCTTAATACCAAAACTACGAACACTGCGAGGATATTCAAGTAAAAGATAAAACACCTATTTTTCACAGACCTCGACAATTACCTTTTGTCAAAAGAGACATCGTAGACAAGCAAAGTCAAACTTGGTTAGCTGACGGCGTAATTAAACCTTGTTCTTCCGAATATTCTAGTCAAGTTGTAGTAGTACGCAAAAAAAAAAAAAAAAACCGTCAACCCTAGTTTGTATGGAGTATACTCTCGGAAATTAAACAAGAAAATAGTTAAAGTTCGGTATCCCTTACCCTTAATAGAAGACTTATTGGATAAACTACAAGATGCTCGTACATTCACTACAATCGATTTAAAAAATGCTTTCTTCCATGTTAGTGTCGACAAAAACAGCCGCCATTACACTTCATTTGTCACACATAATGGACAATATCAGTTTCTACGAGTACCTTTTGGTCTCTGTACTTCTCCTTCTGTATTTCAAAGATTTGTAAATTTCATTTTCAAGGATGTACTCATAAAAATTACAAGTATATATTTGCTGTTATTGACTCTTTCACAAAGTTTGTATGGCTTTACCCGACAAAATCTACTGATAGCGCCGAAGTAATATCTAAATTGGAAAATCAAAAATTTGTCTTTGGGAATCCTTCGCATGTAATTTCAGATAATGGATCAGCATTTACTTCAAAAGATTTTCAAGATTATTGTTCAACCCACAATATACAGCACATTCTAATTACTACAGGACTTCCTCGTGCCAATAGACAAATTGAAAGATTGAATTCGGTCATAATTTCTGTTATTTCCAAATTATCGATTCAAAATCCGTCAAAATGGTATATACACATCGGTGAAGTTCAGCAAGTGATCAATTCAAAATACCAACGGAGTATCAACACAACTCCATTCGAACTCATGTTTGGAACTAAAATGAAATCTGCTAATCATGATAAAATTACAGAGCTGTTAAATGCAGAGATCCAGTCAGATTTCGTCAACGCTTGTGAGGATCTTCGCAAGGAAGCTAAACAACAGATTTTGAAAGTCTAGGCTGAAAATCATAAAACTTACAACTTGCGACGTAAACCATCCCGTAAGTTCAAGCTTCATGATCTGGTGGCAATCAAGCGTATACAGTATGGACCTGGTCTTGAACTGAAACTCAAGTTTCTCGGACCTTATAAAATCGTGAAAATCAAGCCAAACAACAATTATGATGTGGAAAAATGTGGTTTCTTCGATGGACCTATGAAAACAAGTACTTGTGCCGAATTTATGAAACCTTGGACTTCATCAGAACATATTATACATTAACTTTAGTGTTTTATGCATAGTTCATATGAACTGATCTACATCTTTGGACTTTGAATCCTATCCATCTTTTCTTTGATTATGATTAATAACTATTATTTTTTTTTCTATTTTTCTAGGTGTGGTTATTAGAAGATACAGATAGAATATTATTTTCATTTATCTCTTTAATTTAGTATTTCCATTTATCTGTATTAATTTAGTATTTCATTTATAGATTAACAGTATTAGTATTTTTTCTTTTTACTTTATATGTTAAATTTCACTGTTTGCTCTTGTCATCTGAAGGCAGATGACTATGTCGGATGGCCGAATTATGTGGGAACTGTAACTAAGATTATGTAAGAGTGCCATCTAGATTAGGGTGTGGTCAGATGAGATGAGACGTGAACGATATTAAGGACAGACGTGTCCAAAATGTTTTGACAATTTTTGACAAAATTCTTTTTACTTTTCTTTTCATTCTAATGTAAATAAATAAATCCTAGTTTAACTTCATGAGTTGTAGTTATGCTTATCATCAATCCTTCACCGTAATACTCTACGTCTTTAGATTCAGTTTTAGATTTAGTGGTAAACTACACAGGCAGATCTAACTCATTCTATATCTGCCTGTGTAGTTTACCACTCAAAATTAGAGTAAATTAAAGCGGAGAAAAATCTACATAGTAGCCACAAGACACAGCTATTAACTGAAACATAAACTCACAAGCCTTTTTAAATCATAGTTAACAAAGCACAAACAATATTGTCTCTAACTACATAACACAGTATGCTTTTCTAGAACTGTGAAGCAGGAATTAAGTTTGAAGAAAAATATTTTTTATGGCAATTTAATTGGTTAATTTCTCAGGTATGTTTGATGCATACATCCATCCTATTTATTTGCAGTAGGTTTGACAAATATACTCATAATTAAGACACAATAACACATCGAACAAATACTAATTCAGAAGTCAAACAACAAAATCAGCGTTATATTTTCAAATTTTCACAGGACTAGTTTCGTTGGTTTTACTGAACCACCATCCTCAGTTGCAAAAATGCAAAGAGGATGGTGGTTCAGTAAAACCATCGAAACTAGTCCTGTGAAAATTTGAAAATATAATGCTGATTTTTGTTGTTTGACTTCTGAATTAAATATACTCATTCCTAATATTTTAACTCAAAAAATCTTTATATTGTCACGTAGATGAGGGGATTCTACAAATGAACAGACAAGTACTCAAGTCTAAACTCAAGACTTTTTATTAACTCGAACTGAATGAAAAGCTACTTATATAGAGTTGGTGAACATGCTGGAACATTCCAAACTTGGAATGTTCTGGAAGAATAAGAAAGAAATTTACATAAATAAAATAACATTAACAAGAAGGAAATTTATATAAAAACTAATTATCAGGCATCTTGCCGTTGGTGGGTTTCGAACCCGGTACGTTCGGGTTTTGAGTCCTGCATCTTCTCCGCTAAGGATGAGGAGCTCGGTCGAAAGGAGCAATTTTTCGTTACAATATATATAAACGGCTAAAGTGTGTGTTGCCGATAGTTTATTGTTGCCACTCGGAAAAATGAGCGTGGAAATTAAGGTTTCCACAGTTTTTAATTAATATCTAGGCTGATTAAAGCTGTATGAAAATGAGAACAATATGTATGGATTCGGAGAATTTTTGGGAAACCGAGGATACACATCTGGAATTTCAGCTCGGCGCCGTTCTGTAGATATTCGAGAAAAAAGAATCTGGCACATAGCCAAATCCTTCTAACAGGAAAAACCCAAAAGAGAAAGTGGAAAATGTAGGCAAAACGTAGGGGAAAATTAGTTTTTAATTAATATCTCGTCTAATTAAAGTCCCAAGAAGCAAATGGTCAAAATAGTGTGCCATGGACCTACGAAATCCAACGGTGTGCTTCGCTAAGGCTGGGAGCCAGCCGTTTCGGAGGAAATAATGTTACTTCACCCCATATATATATGTGGTTTAAGTGTCTGTTTGTCTCCGAAAGTTTATTGGTTGCTTGCGTAACTGTACTAGCCAATGGTGTGAAGTTGCCACGGCACAGGATTGCCGTTTCAATTGAGACGTAGACAATTTCCTGCAAAACTTGCCTTTTCTATGACCATCAATAAGTCTCAGGGTCAAACGCTTAGCGTGTTGGCATTTTTTTACCTCAGTCCGCATTTGGACACGGTCAACTTTATGTCACCTGTTTAAGAGTTCATGAAAGAACGGACGTAAAATTAAAAATAATGGATGGTCCTCTGCAAGGCGAGCTTAAAAATGATGGAAAGATCTACACAAGAAATGTTGTGTACAGAGAGATCTTTAACATGGGAATTAACATTTCATTATTTAAATCACCTTTATTGATTGAGCTAGTGGTGGCTCTTAAGAAATGTACCTCCAGTCGTTTCATTCATTGCACTCTACTCTAAGCAATTAAGCAAGTAGAAGGGGAAAATTCCTTGGAGCAGTAAGCGAAGGGGCATCTTCGATGCCTGCCCTGGGTAATTCAGTTTGAATTAACAGACACCTTTGCACAAATCATTTTAATTACAATTTATAATATCTAGAACAGCGTTCATTTCGTATGACTGCCGGACTTTCTAGTAAATATATGCTCTTCTCTTATTTAGATGATTTTTTAACATGTTTCATAAATTAAGCAAGAAAAAGTATGGAAAATGTTGATAAATACCAAAATTTGAATAAAAGTATTTTCTGAAGTGTAGGCAGCTCTGATGATTACATGCTGTGGGATATCAGTACTAACCAATAGTGATATGGTAGCACAGGGCAACTATTCTAAGGGCACTGCAATGGCAGTGAATAAGAGATGCTAAACATAGAAGCATGTTCTCTTTGATGAATTACAAGAAATTTATCCCAGCATATGGTTAGTATTATTTCATGTCGGCTATTTTACTCCAAAAAATATTGTAGAAGGTAGAAAGGCTACCTGTGGCTTATCCTTTTAATTTTTTTTTTTTTAATAAAGATAAAAATGAAGGGTGCAGCTTAACATGCGAGAATATGGTAGTAAAGCAAAGATAGTTAGCTGAATATGGATGTTGAAAAAAGTATTAAAAACCAGCAAGCTTCTGAAGACAACATAAGACTGATACTGTAGCAAGCCATCTACTGATACACCTTGTAGCTAAGCATCTTCCAAACTTTACCATACAAAATCAAGAACATATAAACAAGGAGGTATGCAGTATGTATAAAAAAAAAAGACTTTGTAAAGAGAGATCTTAGCGGTGTATGAAACATGAATTTTAAATGCAACTTCACAGCTTATAATTTTCTTTGCAGAAAGCAAGTCTGTTACAGTTACATTTTTTTAGATTTAGATGATTTTTTAACATTTTTCATAAATTAGACAAGAAAAAAGTATAGAAAATGTTGATAAATAAAAGTAATTATTTCTAAAATATGTAATTCTTTTAAATCTTTTTAATTACAATTTTTAGCTAAAAAAAATATGCATTATTCCCATTCAATGCAGGGGGATGGCCCATGCTCAAGAACAAATTGTGATCAAATTACTTATTTAAGGAGCTAATACAAATGTGAACTAAAATGAAACCAGAGACTATGGAGCTTTCTACATGGATTACTTTATATTCTTTTCTGGCTACCAACAAAATAAAATTCTATTCAATAAATTTATACATGTTTAAAAGGGTATAAAATACATACAATACAGAATATAGAAATCAAAATATTTGAAAGAAAATGTATTGAAAAATATTTATTTTAAAATTTATTTTAAGACTTACTTCTTCCACAGGGCTTTCAGTTATACTTCTAATACTGGAATTTGCTACATTCTTAGAAGTTGGGGTATTGAAAACTGAATCACTAGGTGACAAAGGCTCAGATGCACAAGCTGACTCGGACAAAGATTTTTCAGCTGAATCAATTTTATCCACTTTTTTAAAAAAGAGAGAAAATTATACTATTCATCAGTCATCATATATTACACAAAAAATAACAATAATATTACAATATTATCATTTGATATAATAAATTACAGTTATGTTTGCTTTGGCAAATAAATTACTTAAATTCATGAGTCGCATGCGAAATAGATAAAAATTTACAAAATACTCCAAATTAAGTTTTGATTTTATAAGGAAAATCATAATCATGCAAAAGAATTAAATATTTTCATTGATAAATAATATTTGGATAATTTAGCTGGGCAGATGTGATAAATTTCCAAATATAGTTTCAATCCCCATCTCTGATATTGCACTATTTCCTATATTTTCCATATAAATTTCTAACAACATAGGTTTGATTATTTTAACAGGATTGCAATACATTTAATTATGATGGAAATTTGGAGCTTGCTTATAACAAAGGAACAAGCTATACTATTTTTTTTTTTTTAATATCATTTTGCTTAATGTAGCAATTTCTCTGAAAAATTAAGAAATTAAACAGTTTTGAAGATGGTATTCAATGACAATTTTATACCACGGCAAAAAAAGAAGCCAACAGAACATACAAAATGACTTATTCATTAAAAGCATCATTACATTTGATGCAGAAGACAAAATTTTGAAAACCTACTAAGAACAGTTTATATAAAAGCAAATTACATTCTGAAGTTTAAGGTTGAATTTCAAGAATTTTTTTTTTTTATTACGATTGAAAGATTGTCCTTTATTTCAGAATTTAATAAATACTAAGTACAATGTGATTTGTATTGATGAGATAGTATTATTCTATTTCATAGATAGAAAAAAGTTGTAAAAGAATGTATTCATAATTATTTGTGATGCAATTGTTTCTGCCCCAAATAACAAGTGCATAAACAATAATTAATGATCCAAAACATCACATCTAATTCTTAAATAATAAATTTGAAAAACACAGTACAGAAAAATTGCAGTGAAATGAGAATATTTCTTAATTAAAGTTCTTAAATAGAAACAAAAATTAAAATTCATTTAAATTTTTTCCTTTTGAACATCCCAAAGTACACTAGTACACTAGTGTACACACTAGTACTACACACTAGTACACAAAGTACTGTTTGCAGTAAGTAAATTTTGTGTCCTGGTGAAATAGAAATTATTACCGGCTTAGTGTGCAAGGAGATCCAGTAAGAAAATGCACTATTACATCTTGCATAATTATATTTTTTCTTTATTGTATAAAGAATTATATTTTTTCTCTATTCTATAATTTTTCTTTTTTGCATAAACACAAAATGATTTCTTCCAATATTAATTTATGTGAAATCTGAAACTCCTGTTTTTAACAGATTCAAAATGTATGAATTTTATGCTCTGTATTGTGAGCTAATTCTTAAACTAGCAGGCTACTCTTAATTTTTTAGCTTAAAACATTTTCAACTATTAAACTGAAATCTGAATATGAAGATCAGATTTTAGAACATTATCTCTGTTTTCAAATTTCACTATTTTAAAATGTTTAGGTTTTTTAATCTTTTTAAAATTTGAATGATGAATCTTCAAGGTATAATACTGAAATCTGAAGTTTACAAATTTAAATTTCAAACAGTTGTATATTTTTGTGACTTACCACTATTCCAGCAGTCTTCATTATAATAAGCATATTTCTGATGCACAAGTTCTTCATTAAGGCATTTTGTAGTATAATCATTAAAAGAAACATGAAGAGAACCATATAGGCAACTTTCTGTTTTGGCTTGCACTCTTATATATACATTATTCATTTCTGTACATATGGGAGGGAAAATATACGTATGTACATATAATTGAAAACTCGTACACATAAAACATTAAGAGAAGCACACAATTTAAAATTAGCCAAAATTTAATGTTAAAAGGTTGTTGAGAAAAATGCCTTAAGAAATTCAAAAGAATTAGTCAAGTGTTTTAAGTTTTGAAAGATGCGAAAATAATTTCTCTAAATTTCAGTACTCAAGTAGAAAAAAAAATAAATAAATAAATAAATAAATATTAATATTTAAGTGAAAAAAAGTTTATTGAAAAGTTTTTTTAGTATAGTGTGAAAGAATGTAGATCCCATATTTGTCATGAGACTAGAGACAAAACAAAATTAATGATAAAAAGGCTTTAAAATCAACTCTAGAACTGAAATAAAATTTATTGCAAGTTAGTAGAATGTTGTAAGAAAAAGCTACCCAAAAAACTATACCTACACTACACTTATTTTTTTAATTAAACCTCAGCCACAGTTCCTGTGGATCGATCAGTATATGTAAATTCAGCAGCAATTTAGTCATAAAATAACGACAACCTTCCATGCTGTACTTTTTACTGCATGTGAGTTATTCTTGTTATCATCTCTATAATCTTAAATGAAGTCTAAATGTAGGAAATACTTATATGATGATCAAATAATTCCTCAGATAAATGTGAGATGAAAAAGTAATCATAGAGAAAAATTATGTAAATAGTAATGATGAAATTTTTTATTGATAGTGTTGAAGATTTACAAAATAGTACCTCCCCGTTCTTGATCATTATTATATTCATTTTTCTGAGGAATGCAAATGTGAAATTGAACAGTAGGCATTCTGAAATAGTCACACTTCATGGTAATTTTACTAATGGCAATAACTTCTGCATATGTAAAAAGATTGCAACATCTACTAAAAAAAAGAGGGGATTATAAAGGAGTTAATGGGAACGCTTCTAAAAAAACAAACATTTTTGTAAATAATTGAACTATAGTGGGATTCAAAAAATAAATAAAATACATTAACAAGTTCATCAGATACATTTGCTTGATTTACTGAATTAACAAACTCATTGTCTATATTTACTTGATTTACTGCATACAACTGTTTACAATGAAAATACATTTAATTCTTTAGTAACAAATAACGTATTTTATGTTTTATATTAAATGAAGAAAAGATAATATAAAAAAGAGGTCGCCTAAACATATATAAACAAATAAAACTACTCAAAAATAGCTTAAGGGGAGTTGGAACTCCAAAATCTTCAAAAAATTGTGATTTTGGATTTTTGCATTTTCAAATTCTCTACATTTTTATCTTTCTAAATATACCATTCTTTAATCTCTATGAAAATTAGAACTGTAAAAAAATCTAGTTTTAATTTGTCATCTACATGCTTTGATCAATGAGGATTTTTACATAAAAACGCATTTTTCTCCAAACGTGATTTTTTATACTCGATGTACCTTTTCTCAGGAACTACTGCACACAGGTAAACTTTTTATGGCTTATTTATTAGGTTCCCTAATATTTACTGAAATGAGCTTTTTTGTAATAACTTAGAAAAAAAATTTTTAATTTTTTTGTGTAGAAAAAGTGCTAAATTTTACTATGCCTAACAAAATATCCTGTAATTTACTCTAAAATTCAAAATGTTTCAAAAGCTCATTTCAGTATAATCAGATAGGTATACTTTAATTACAGAAAAAATTTCAAGCTTGTATCTACAGCAGATTTTGAGAAAAGGTACATCGAAAATGGCCAATTTAACATTGTCGATATAGGGGTTTCTGATACCCCTTAAATTAAGAAGAAATGTAAATTATTAGGAAAAACACTGATATATAGGATGTTTCATATTGAATGGGACAAAAATAAAACATACCTATGACCACTGCTATTATTTTATTTTGATAAATTAAATTTACAGTGAAACTATAGTTATCTCAGTTTCTATAGAAGTTCTACTTGTGGCCATCTGGTGACATGGCAAATATCTATGCAGTACTCCAAATTCTGCCACACTTGAGATACAGTATCGTTTGTTAATGATTCGAGCACTTCAATTATCCACTCTTTCAGTTGCTATAAGTCCTGAGCAAATGGAGGCATGAACATTTGTTTTTAAAAACACACCAGAAAAAAAACCACAAGGGTTTAGCTCTGGGGACCTTGATGGCCAACAAAGCATTTGACCAAGCATGGGCAATCCAGAGATGGGGTAGACCGGTGGTTCCCAAATTTTTCCAAGTTGCAGCTCCTTTTTCTCAATTAAAATTTTTCCATGCTTCCCTACCCAGAGTAAAAATATAGCCAATTAATTATATGTAAGAAATTAAAAAAAAAAAAAAAAAAAAAACCTCCCATATCTCCATTATTCAACTTTTTTCTTTTCTTTATTAACGTTCAATCAATAAATAGTGTGATAGACAATAGATGAGCCAGCAAATCACTGCGTATTTTCTCAAATCGTGGAAATAAACTGGATGTGTCCATCCTCATTTCCTTTTCCACTTTACTGCCGAACAAAGCTTCACATAAATAAGACACTAAAAAATAATTTTAATCCATTCAGCCTTATCACTTAATAGGGCATATTCATCTTTTATTGAGATCCAAAATTCTGTCAATTCCATGTTGCCAAATTTTGCTTTCAAACTGTTGTCGCAAGATAACTCGATAAGGTTCTCTTCTGCAAAAGTAAATTCAGATGGAACAGTAAAGTTTAATGGATCTTGAACCTATGCAAACCTATTGAAGTTTTCATTTTAAAAGTACTTCTCAAACCACATAATTAGCTGTGATAAGTGCCCTTCATACATAGTTTTTATACCTAGAGATAGATCAAGTTAATTTGACATAAAAATTTCTTGCATTTTAAAATTAATCTTTACCTCCATCTTCATTCAATTTTCTTCTCCATAGTTTCACATTTTTAATAAAAGCTGATATTTTTCCATCGATTTCAAAAGATGCATGTTTTTTCCTGCAGAGAATTCAGCTTTTCAGAAATGTTGCATATATATGGCAGTTTTATTAAAACACTGGCATCAGCAAAATCTTCTGCATCTTTCTCCCCTTCTTTAGGGAAAATAAAAAATTCTTGCCGCAATTCAAAGGTACTTTATAAAACATTACCACAGGTGAGCAATCATGCACTGTTGTAATACAACAACGATCTGCTCCCATATTCTCACACAGTTTTTTTAAAAAAAACCTTGCTTTCAGCGTATGAGATTTTATAAAATTAACTTCCTTCATCGCACATTCTAACATCTGATTCAGCGAAGGACTGGGATTCATTGATGCAAGCACTTTTCTGTGAATAAAGCAATGGGCCCACAATGCATTTCATGATTTGTTTTGAATAAGTACCTAAAATCCTTCATAACAGATAGATATGGAGCGAGCTCCATGAGTACTGATACCAACACACTTAAGACAATTCAAATTATTTTCAGGTATGAATGTATCAAGAATCATAGCAGCCAGACACAGTGTATTGATATCATTGCACTTAGGACAATTCAAATATTTTCAGATATTGAATGTATCAAAAATCTCGAACAGGTTCTGGGCCTTTGCTCCTGCAGTAATATTATTACAAAACAGGTTTTATTTAATATTATTACCATTTATAAATCGTAGATATCTTATCAAATGAGCATCTATAATATTATCCGTAGATTCATCTAGCTGTAATCCAAATTCCAATCCTTTATGTTTTTTAATTAATTGATCGTTGATACACACACTGGCCAATGAATTAGAAGTCTTTGAGATTTTAATTTGAATACAATGCTAGGTATGAAGTATTGAAATTTTTTTATGATGTGGGTTACATGTGGTTAGAATGATAGTATAAGTAAGGTGTAAGAGTGCTTTTCACGATGAATGAAGTAAAATGGGAAAAAAGATCTTTCACCATTTGATAAAGAGCTTATTAGTGTTGGTGCACCTTAGTAAGAGCCTCAATTTCGAACACAGCAAATCTCAATGGATTCTCAAAAGCAGGCATAACAAAGGCTTACAAAAGTTGGAATTGAAACCCACAGTCCTTTTCTAGAAAACGTAACTGCAGTTCAAGCAGAGTTTTCTAACAGAGTGATCGGCGGCATCTCTGACGAACTTTATAGCAGAACAGGGACTTTACTGTGCTTTAACTGACACAAAATGTAAGACAAGGCACTTCCCAACAAATTTCAGCTCGAACCATGTGCAGAGAATTGCAGAGGATAGGAATGCACAGTCAAGCGCCTGTAAGGAAACCACTCATTTCTGTCCAACATACAAGAATTCATTTCTAGTGGTGTCATGGAAGAAGATACAGGACATCTGAGGATTGGAAATGGATAATGTGGTCAGATGAATCCCGTTACACCTTATTTTGCGCTGATGAAAGACGTTAAATTTGGCAAGAACACCATAAAGCCATGAAATCATCTTGCTTTATTCGCTCTGTGCAAGGGTCAGGTGGGAGTATCATGATATGGAGCATGTTCTGTTGGCATAGAAGTGATGCCCTGGTGTTCCTTGAGGGTAAACAAATAGCCATGAGATACTTAGATATACTGCCAGATCAAGTGCACCCTGCAATGTTGCATTTTATCCTGATGGCGATGGATACTTTATGGACGATAATGCAACTATACATCATGCCAAAAGTGTTCAAAATTGATTCACTGAACATCAGTCTGACTTTCAACACCTTCCTTAGCCACTACACAGCCCAGATGTTAACTCCATAGAAAATGTGTGGGATATGGTGGAAAGACGTATCCGACAGCACTCTTCTCTTCCATCTAATTTACAAGATTTAAAAAGCTGCATAGCCAATGCATGGTATTTTCTGGACACAAATGCACTCCAGAAGCATGTAGACTTAATGCTCAAATGAATTGGAGCAATTATCCATGCAATAGGTGGTCCAATAAAATATTGATCTCGGATTTCTAATTCATTGGCTCCAGTGTGTGTATCATCCGCCATATGTTGTTTCTTCAACTAC